CGTTGAATTCATACAAGTGATCCTACGGATCAGAATTTCCATCGAACGCCCACATATTGGGCATTCTAAATCTTGATGGGAGAGGGGTGGCTAAAACAGCCAGAGAAAAAGGAGACGCTGCTGCGGCCTGCCCTCGCTCATTTTGCTGAGCTTTTAGCTGATCTAGAGCTCACTATAGCTCCTCAATCTGAGGCAGCAGAGCTATCTCGAGATTGCTTTCCCCATGCAAGTTCGACCCTTACGATTGCGGTTGAGGGAAGTCCGGAGATTGAATACCTCTTCGCCTCGGCCGGCAGTTCTGACCGCACTTGACACACGCTGGCTAGAGTCGTGTGATGGCGATGAATGGTGCGGGGAATTTTCACGACCTCTACGGTGGTATGAACCGCCCTGCAAAGTGTGGGAACCTCCCTCACGATGACAATCAGGATCGTTTTTCTGGCGATGATGTGAATCACCCCGCCCAACACTTTTATGGGGGTGCTCACGCGACGTGGCATGGGATGGCTTGGGATGTGACCTTTCACCGAGTCTTAACGCCACGGGTATTCTACTCGGAACGTGGTCGGTGTTTGCCGACCCTTTGGAGTCCTTTGGCTCGCTGTTCGCCACTTGCTTACCCTTCCTTCGACGCGCTGCAATGCACGCAGCCTGGGCTATTTCCCTTTTCTGCGCTTTCGCACGACCTGCAGGGATTTTTTGTCATTGCACCGCCCCATTTGATTCGGATGACGTTCCCTGGTCCAAATGATCCAACCTTTGGTTGACTGTTTAGAGAGTATTATTAAAACTCTCCAGGTAGCTCATGATGGTAAGGTCAAATTGTGAACTTGAGAAAATACCCCCTGCGGCATTTTGTGGAACTAAGGCTCCTCAGGACCATGATTGGTTCGCTCAGGTTCAAGTCGGCGAGCCATTTACTGTTGTAGGACCAGTTAGGCAAAGATTCTCTTGATGAAGGACGAATACTAAATCAGGTCCTCCTTCTAGCGCCAAACTGTTGGTGCGTGAATTTGACACCAACTAAACGCACGTGTGAAATATTGAGCTGGCCTAGAAGACACACGTGAATAAGGGATTGAGAATGTAAATGATGGCAAGACAATGTTTAAAGTGGTTCGGATGCTCAATCAAGCAAATCCTATGTCCACTGACATTGTATTTATATCTGAAGGATCAGGTCGCAGCTTAGCGAACTGACTTTGGAGTATTGAGAATACAAATGAGAGAGAGAGAGAGAGAGAGAGAGAGAGCTATTACAGAGAGAAGATAGCTAATTAAGAGTAAAATGAGCTAAACCCACAAACGGGAGAGAAGCTCTCTATTTATAGTGGGATACACTAAGGTAATGATTACTGAATCCGTAAAAAGGGGTTAGGTACCGTGCAAATCCTCCTTTGCGGCCCGTTATTCACCTACTCGCGTGATTTCCTCGTTTTATTCAAGGATTGGACACGTGGACAACCTCTAGCCTCTTGTTAGTCTGGGGCGCACCCACTGCACTAGCAAGAGTATGCTGCTCACGCCAGCATGCGACGTGGCCGCACCTAAATGGCTACAGGATGTACTTAGACTCTGACCACTTGTGCTAACTGGGCTCTACGTCAGCCCTTACTTTTCTAGGCATAACAGAAACTATCTATATGAGCTTGACGTTGCTTCTTCTCTCTATGAACAAAAAAAAAAAAAAAAAAAAGGTTTTCTTTTTAAAAAAAGCATAGTGGAAAATATGTAGGTAAACACACACCTTCCAATACCAAAATTAAGAACTTATAGTAATAATAATATGCTCCATAATAAATACAAGTATACAAAATTTAATTCCTCATAAGAAATTTCATCAAATTTGAGTTCTATGTAATTTCCAATTCTAAAAGAAATGAATTTCACAAATGAAAGTTTAGGATGACAATTATAATAAAGAATCAAGCAACAAAAATAGCATCTTTACTCTTGTCTCTCTACTTGATCACCTTTAAATTCTTTGAATAAAACTATGTGCATTAACCAATGTATACTAATCCAAGTACTAAAATTGAAAATTTCAAATTAAAAAATTTCAAATTTTCAATTTTAGTATTTGAATTAGTATACGTTGATTAGTGCACCTAGCATTACTCATATTCTTTACCAAAACTCCAAGGACTCAAATCAAATAAACAAAATGGAAACACATCCATCATTTGCTTCACTAATAAAAAATTCCTAAAGCTACTAACGATCGCACAGTTCCAAATCAACTTCCAGTTGTGAAACTTGGATCACCAAGACAAAAACTTTAACACAAATAAACAACAAAGACAGCACAAAAAACAAAATCCATTTGAAGAAATCCACAAAAAACTATAATCCCACCATAAGAAAGATACTCACCATTGCAAGTGACAGGGTTGTTAGGAGCAGAAGGGAAGGACCATTTAGTAAATTCAAACTCGGGAGAAGTGAAGCGCGTCTTGATGGGTTCATTGGCAGGGCCAGAGTCACCCAAACCATGGAGCCACAGAACAAAGCTTCGAGGCATGGAGTCTTGTTTGTGGGGAAGTGGGTTTGGTCGGAAAAACAGTATGAAAATATGGTGCTACGGAGGGTCACCGTAATAAGAACGATCGGTTTTATTAATAACATGAGTTTGGTTTATATTTCCAATCAAAATATAAACTTAGGTAATAAAATGATATTTTAAAAATAAAAATATCTAAGTCATTCACGTACAATCAAGATTTTTGAACCTGATTCCGTGTCATTCTTCTTGTTGGGGCATCCACTTATGGCCGATCAATTATGAATCTGATTCCCCACCTCCATCTTCTCAGCCACCGCAAATGCCTAATGTTCTTGTGCATATATTAATATTCTCGATATATATATGTTATTATTGCTATATGTATGTTTTATTTTCATAAATTAGTTTTTCCGTTTGGGGAAGGGTCAATCTATCTCATTAAAATATATGAATAAGGGCAAAGACATCTTTCCATGATGGTACGAATGAGTAAGAGTAATCTTTTTTATTAATTATTACAAATTTTCTTCAAATGGACTTTTCTTAATTGTAGGTTTTGGGGGTGTTTGTCTGAGCTTATGAAAATTAACTTATAAGCAACAAGTATTTATAAGCTAATTTTAGCTTATAAACATTTGAAATTTTAAGAAATTACATGTTTGGTTAAAATATTTATAAGTGACTGATAAATAGTTGACGTGTTTAGTAAAATGTGACTTATAAGTATATTTTATTATAAAATGACTAAAAATGGTACTACATTAAACAAGGGTATAATATGAAATTTTAAAATTAAATAAGGATAATGTGGTAATATACTTGATCAAACTAGTTTACAAGTAGAGTGCTTATAAGCAAAAAAAAAAAAAAAAAAAAAAAAAAAAAAAAAAAAAAAAAAAAAAAAAAAAAAAACCTCTCCAACTTATTTTTTTAGCTTATAAACTCAAAAAAGTTATAACAAACAAATCAACTTAATTTTAAAGCTTATAAACTAGTTTGACCAGTTTATCAACACCCTCTTGTAATCGACTCCAAGTCAAGAATATTGTCAGAATTATTTGTCCCAACAAATTGCTCATATTTTCGATTCAAACAAGAAGTTTGCAGTGTAATTTCCATGGCTTTGATTGACAACATATTTCTTGAAAATATGAACTATATATATGTTGATGATGTAAATCTACTATTTGACAGGATGTCCAAGTTAATAAGACATTCTAGCAATCCCATGACTTCATACTATTTTTCACCATTATTAACTTGACATCCTATCAATAATAAGATTCCGGAGCTCCTCCAGCTTATGGAGCTGCCCTCCTGGTTTGCTCGTTTTTCATTGACACTATAAATAAGAACTATTGAATATGGACCAATAAGCGATTCCAGTGGGGGGCTGTGATGCAATGAAAGAGCAAAAAGTGAACCTCAACCAGCCAACCCTTGGAGGTTGCCTAGCGACTCGATGTAGGGGCAAATGTGTAGTCAGGTAGTGAATCGAAAAGTTAATACATACAAACTTTTGTATATAAATTGACATGATCATAAAAAAGACATCATCTTGATGATAGTACTATAACACGATGAAGATAGTAATAATATTCACCTTCCACCAGCATCTAAAATATTATTCATCCCGGTTGCTCTAGTTTCTTGTATAATAAAGCAAATAGAAAAATATTATTGAATTCATTACTTCATGTGTTAATGAAGAGGATTTCCAAGTAAGAAATTTTTTTTTTTTTTACAGGTACATATGGAGGATATGTGTTTTCCTCAAAAATAACGAACATGTTAGGAATTATCTGCATTTACAGATGATAAGAGTTCAAATAATGTTTAAAACACCTCCAACTGTAGACTGAGAAAGTAAAGGAAATATTTTCAAAAATATTCCCAATTGAAAATAGAGGATTATAGGAACATAAGCAGATATGGCCAACACAAATACTCCAATTTATCAGTCCAATCATCGTGAATCTAAACCATAAACTAACTCCCCTAATCAAAAGAGCAGAGACATGGCAAATACACCACTATCAAGTAACAAGAGTTTTAAAGGGATACAATTTGGATCATGACAGGATTATGTATATAGTCATATATACAAAATACTCCCTATGATAATTACCACCAAAGTATGATTCAAACTTCTAACCATTAGTGAGTTTCTTTTGTTTATAAATAAAAACACGAAAGAATAAACAGAGGTTGTTCATGCTGGTAGCTAGCGGATACTCAGTTAAATAATCATTTTCTGATCCATATAGATCAAAATGATTTTCAACCATAAACTATTTTTTTTTTTTTTTTTTTAATTTTTCAAGACAATTGGTTCTCAAAAAAAAATTGACAAACATTGAATTTATTATAAAGAGGATCAGCCAAAGAGTACGGGAAGCTTCATTCATCTCTAAGTATAATATTAATATCTCAAGAAAACTTACAATATCTAAAGAGAACTTGAAAAGCATATGAACTGAGTCAGAGTCACAGTGTCGGAATGTAGAAGCTTTATCCTACATTTCTTGAGCAACTTATAACAAAAACAAATGATCAAGAATAACATTAGATATCCTATGTCCTCCTAAATACTAAAATTGACATAAATAAATTTCAACAATTTGTGTATCGTTAACAATATGAAAAGTGCCTAAAAAAATCTATCACATGCAGCCTCAAGCAGTACCATGATATTCATCGATAGTCCGCATCATCTCATCCAACTGTGAAAGGATATATTCCAGTTTCTTGCAACAGATCTCATTTGATATTCTTGAACTATAATCACACTTCTCAAACGGACGGTACTCACACGCACTCTTAATCTCATCCCGCAGTGTCACTTGGATGTCCTGCCTCATAAAGCAAACAAAAAATTGCTGAATTCTCAATACTCAATAATCTATTTTCCCAACATCCAACCATAATTAAATCATAATCCTCTAAATTCACTTGTAAGCTTAGACTTCAATCTAATTGTTTTTTCATATTTAATACAAGAAACCAAAAGCACTCCCAAACGCACCAAAAAAGAATTTCTGGAAAAGCATCTATCAAGTGCTACCAAAGCCTTACTGAAACAAAAACCTATAAAATGTTTCTCCAAGAAGAACTTGAAGTGCTTTTATGCTCTTTAATGAACTCAAAACCAGTTTTGTCTACCATAAATTCAAAATTCCTGTAAGCACTTACCAGCGGTGCCAAAACGCTTACTATTAATCAAGTAATACCAAGCTTAATGTCAGTTCATCTTCATAATTTTACTTATGAAATGATCAAACTTGAAAATTCCAGCACTGTGAAAGCACATTCACTGCAACTATTAAACCAAATCTATTTTCAGGTATCACAATTAGCTAAATTTGTTCCTAAATTCAAATTAAATTCATAACCAAATAAATAAATAAATAGAGCGCAACGAAATTTATGGCAGAAAAGGACGGACCTTGATCAATTTCATGAACTCGCCGCAATGGTTGTTGATGAATTCTTTTCTGGGACCCATTGGGTTTGCCAGCTCATCCATGACTCCTCCTGCGAGTTCCAAAACCCTCACGACTCTCTACACTCAATCAAACACGAGATTTTTAACTCTTCTTCAGTTATAATTTTCATTGAAATTAAGGATTCTTTCGATAGAGATCAAATAAAAATTACCTTTTCTACATTTTGAAGTCGTTGCAGCGACGTAGTTTGGCCCTGCGAATCCATGGAACTACAGCTTGCTTCAAAGACAAAGGTCGGACGTCAGTTTGTAACATTCAATTTTGTAAACGACTTCGTTTCAAGACCATTCGTGACTCACCCGATATGTACTTATTTTTTTAAACAAAACGGTGCGTTTCATGTCCAGATGGCAACCGGTGATTGGTTAATGGGACCAGCGGCGTAGTAGATATGCGACCTTTATTAGAATCACTGAACAACTCCTACCAACCTTGCACACGGGCTCAAGTCTTCAGAGAAGGAGAGTTGAATCCATGGCAACTTCCAAGCTTCAAGCTCTCTGGAACCACCCGGCCGGTCCCAAAACTAGTGAGTGGACTCATTTCGTTCTCCAATCCGACGGTTTTTTTTTTTTCAATTCTGTGACGCCAAAAATATGCAAAATTGCAGATATCTGTTCGTCCTTGCGGTTAAGATCCGTTGTTTAGTTTGTTTTTCGATTAAACATCTACGATAGCGTTTTGGTTCTCAAATCTTTTATCTGAATATTTACCAAATCTCAGTTGAAATTGGGATAAAAATGATTTTTTTTTTAATTATTTAATTTTAATCTTAAGCTGAAACTTTGAACTAAATTTGATTGAAATATGTGTAATCAAAGAAAGGTTTTATCGTTTTTGCGGAAAAATATGATCTGTAAGATGAATATTTTAATTTTAAGGTTGACTTTTATGTTATTGTTCGTCAATTCTTGGTATATGATATGCATAAATTTGACAACAATGGTGTTTGTGTTAATTGCAGTTCACTTCTGGGCACCAACTTTTAAATGGGGCATCAGCATAGCTAATGTTGCCGACTTTGCAAAACCACCCGAAAAACTTTCCTATCCCCAGCAAATTGGTATGTTATTATGCAAATGTTAAAGTGTTTAGTTTCATTTAACAAAAAATGTAAATTTGAGTGCCTTTTTGAGGTGTGTATTTGAGAATAAGTTATCTTTATATCCTGCATCAAGTTGTGGTATTCTTATATTTTTTCTTGTCACTCTTGGCATTTGGTATCCAGCGGTGGCAGCAACTGGAATTATCTGGTCGCGCTACAGCACTGTTATTACGCCGGTAAGTTTTGTTATAGATAAGATGACTAGTTTTCAGAAGTTGGGAATTGCAGCTTATTCCTCTTGCAGTTTGGTAATGTTTGTTTAGCTTCTTAATTGCAAAGCTTTGCCTTTGTGGTGTTGTACTTGTGATCGATTGTTTGCTTGTTATTACATAATAATTTATTGTCTAATTTTCTTTCTGAAGAGTTTTGTATGTGAATTATGTCATCTGATTATATGATTATATCTTGGGTTAGGGTGTACTTCAAATGAGTAATGAGTTGAGAAATGAGAAGAGGACTAGAAGGAAGAGAGAATTCTGTATAATGAGAACATTTGATATCTTGTGTTTGCTTTGTGAATTAGCTGAGAGTGCAGTCATGCTGATATATGCAATGATCTTGTTTTCTATTCTGAGTTTCTGCCCTCATACCTTGATGGTAACTTAAAGAGAAGAAAATTGAAGAGTTTTTTATCAAACTTTAGGAATCCCATTTTCCTTTTGGCAGATCCTATTTTTACCACAAAGTTTCTTTCTTTCTCATGATTCACTGATGATTATGGGAGACAAGTTTGGGCACACACTAATTATTGGCTATCTTTCTTTCTTAATTACAGAAGAACTGGAATCTTTTTAGTGTAAACGTTGCAATGGCTGGAACAGGGCTCTACCAACTTTCACGCAAGATCCGGTATGTTAAAGTTAAATCTATGTTACTCGTTTCTATTTGAAATAAATAACAGGATATGATCCTTCAGTTCTCGTTACAGGAAGTAAAGTGTAATTCTTACTCCAGTTGTTTCTGTGACAGCTTAATATTGTCCTCTGAATTCAATTTAACTATAATTCTTACAATTGCTTTAGAATACTCCAATTAGAAATTTTCCTTGATTTTCTTGGCTCCAGTAATCGTGGAATGTTCATCACATACTGTGATTCCTACCTGTCGTGACTTTTCCACATAGTAATTTTTCTATTTCTCATTTTCAGGCATGACTACTTTTCTGAGTCAGAAGAGGCTGCAGTTGCAAAAGAATGATGACGAAAAATCTTCTAAACATCTTGTTACAGGGTGATTAACCACAGTTGCCTTTGCCCCACTTTGTTATTTGTTCTCTTTTTACCTCGCAATTGATTCAAGTTCAAAATGTCATTGATGCATGCCTTATTTTTGGCCTTGAATTGTTAAATAAGTTTTTGAGAATTTGTAACAGAATATTGGTTGTCTTTCCCATTATGCTTGTAAAGCTAATAAAAATTCTGGGAAAATTTGGATGGGGCTAATAAAATATCGTTTTAACGCCTATATTTGCTTCATCTATTAGCAAATTTGTTTTTAGGAAAATACTACACTTACTGATTCTGCAGACCAACTCCCCATCCGACTGACGTAGAGTGTTGCAACGTGGAAAGTTCCTGTACACGCTCCAAGTCAGTCGGGATGAACAGTCGGTCTGCAAAATCGGTAAAGTGTAGTCTTACTCTTGTTTTTATCCTAAAATAGGGATCAGAGTTGATGCGAAGCCAAGAAATAAAAACCCGGATAGGTTTAATTAGACCTTCACATCACAGTTCCCTTTGTATATATTTATTTGAATTGTTCCTAATGCTTTAGTTAACAAATCATTCTCCTGCCTTTGCTTCTGCTCAAATGATTGATTCTAAATTTGATTAATCAGTCCGAATGCATTCAGTATAGTGATATCAAATTTTTGAAAGAACAGAAGAAGGTATTGAAACATGAAGAGAAGATGATTCTGTCTGAAGTTGAACTCTTATTCCAATGTATTTTTGGTTAACAGTAAATCTGTCATTATATACGAGGATGTATGCAAATCAGATTTGACGAAGAACTTCTGTTCGAACTGCTTGTTAACATTCAGCCAACTTGACATATGATCCAGCCACAACTCACAAAAAAAAAACAAAAAAAAAAACAAAATAAAAAAAAAATTAAAAAAAAAAAAAAATAAAAAAAGAAAAAAAAAAAAAAAAAACTTGTAATAGGTGTTAAAAAACTAGATTAATTTGTCGGTTCCTCGATTACAATCCCAACTAATAACCCAACAAAATAATCAATTGGTTCAATTTTAAAAGTAAAAGGAAATATGATTGTGTTACTTAAAACACAATCACTACAAATTGCAATCAGCTCTGTAAGGGAGCATCAAATAAGAGACTAAAAAATACGAGGACAAGCCACTCAACCAAATAAAAAATTGTTTCCTATGAGAGTCAGTAGCAAGATCAGAGTACCGGGAAAAATTGGATCTCTAATAAATCGGACACATAGAAGGGTAATTATCTTCTTATATTCTCTGCAGCAAAACAGAACCTTCAGAAGGCCTCTACTTACTTGAGTTCAGTCTTTCCAACTTCGCATCTCTGCTCAGATCTGTCTTTGAGTTGGAGTCACCATCATGTGCCTTCAAACCCAAACTCAAATCCAGAGTGATTTCATTTAAATCCTGTCGTACTACCTGTTCATCATCCTGAGACAGGATTGAAATTCAAGGGAGCATTAGATGTAAGCTTATAATAAGACATGAATCAGAATGCTTTATACTGATTTTAAGTGATGAAGGCTCACAAAAATTTGAAGTTCAAATAAAGGGCTGATGAGAAGAACGCAAATTACATCGTTTTATTAATTGCATTCCAAGATTAGTATACTGTTTTCTTTTATCAGTATAGAAGTTGAGCAATACTACATAAACAGAAAAAGAGTATAATAGAGTATGCTTGCTGACATGGCATAACTCACTTTCTATTTCAAAGAAAAGAGAGTGAATACCCTTAAGCATCAGTCCACATCAGCCTTCAGTATAAATCATTATGTATGAATGGCATTTCTCATAAAAGAACTTCAAAACTCTAACTAAGAACAGCTTTGAAAAGGAAAGTGTATTTTAAGAAATGGCATATAGATAACCATTCACCTGATTTTCCTCCATAGGTACATCATTAATGTCAGGCTTTTCATCAAAACCATCACTCCTGGGAGCTGGCTCCACTGCGCTTGGCTCCATATCAGTAGGTTTAGCTTCATTCTCAGCATTTTCCTCAGCCTCACTTTCTGCAGCCTTTTTCTGTTCCTCTAGCACAGCAATCTACATTGTAAAAGAACCAAGACCATCATCCATCCAAATAGCACACTAACAACCAAGAACAAGAGAGACAAAATAACAGACACTTCACTCAACCACATTATAAAGCATAATTGCAAACTAGAACAACAACAGTCATTGCCTCGTCCACGTAGCTTCATATAAAACTCAGAAGTTAATGAATGTGTTTCCACCCAAAACTCTTTATTAATTTATTTATTTTTGGTCAAACTTACAAATTAAACCCAAACCCTCCCAACCTGATTTCAGCGAATTTCAGTCCTAAGAACTTTGTGCAGTCCCAAGAGATCTAATCACAGAAGAATTTCCACTAAACCAAACACATTGTTCAATTATTCGCTTAAAAATGTAAAACAACTAATCACTCCATAGGCCGGATCATTCATAGGATTTTAAGTCAGTATCATATAAAAGAATTGGAGTAATAAAAAAAATGCTAGATAGAAGTGTCTATCTCTAACAATTACTAATGCAAATTGGCGTCCTTTCAACATTTACAGTATATTCCCAAATTGTTTTGGATTACCATCAGAGTCCATATCAGGTCAGCAGACATATACTAATTTAAGAAAAAGTTAACGTAGATGTGTGCTGAGAATATCCTATAATAGTTTAAAGAACTTGCAGTCCTCAGCTGGAGAATTGTTTTCTTTAAAAGTCTTCAAATCCTGCGAAACTATGTATCGTGTGCAAATTTGACCTATGTTGTCCAACAACAATAAAACTAACAGATAGCATCAATCACTGCATATCATAGCCTTAATCCTAAACCACATGAATCACAATTTTGAACCAACAAACATTTTCCCCTCATTAATGTTCTCTAACATGTGTTGAAGGATACCCAATAATAGCCAAGGCTATATATAGTAAGTAAGCCAATAATGTTTTTCATGCTTACACAGTTCACATATGAAACACATGCATCTTCAAAGATTTCATGAAATCATATGTCGAAAAATCTTAATTATAATCTACCAAGGCATAACATAGTGTAAACTGTCTTGCTAATAGCTATAGTCAACCAAGATATAACAAAAGTAACAAGTTCTTAAGACAAATTCAAATGTAAATGCATTAAATGTTCTAATACGGCTTTCTTACTGCTTAATCTCCACTATTTTGTAATTCATCCAAATTTCTTTGGAAAAAAAAAAAAAAACCTCAAATCCCTAAGACAAAATCTAATTCTCCAAATCAGAAGTTCTAACCGTCAACCAACCACATTACCATTATAAACCCCACAAAAATTTCTTCTTTCCATCAAATGTAAGCAACCACACCAAGCTCAATCTTTAATCTCACAATCTAAACCATAAAATAAANAGCCTTAATCCTAAACCACATGAATCACAATTTTGAACCAACAAACATTTTCCCCTCATTAATGTTCTCTAACATGTGTTGAAGGATACCCAATAATAGCCAAGGCTATATATAGTAAGTAAGCCAATAATGTTTTTCATGCTTACACAGTTCACATATGAAACACATGCATCTTCAAAGATTTCATGAAATCATATGTCGAAAAATCTTAATTATAATCTACCAAGGCATAACATAGTGTAAACTGTCTTGCTAATAGCTATAGTCAACCAAGATATAACAAAAGTAACAAGTTCTTAAGACAAATTCAAATGTAAATGCATTAAATGTTCTAATACGGCTTTCTTACTGCTTAATCTCCACTATTTTGTAATTCATCCAAATTTCTTTGGAAAAAAAAAAAAAAACCTCAAATCCCTAAGACAAAATCTAATTCTCCAAATCAGAAGTTCTAACCGTCAACCAACCACATTACCATTATAAACCCCACAAAAATTTCTTCTTTCCATCAAATGTAAGCAACCACACCAAGCTCAATCTTTAATCTCACAATCTAAACCATAAAATAAAACCCTAAACCACAGTTCACATATAAATTCAAATTTCCGAATCACACACAAAACAATTCATAAAACCAACAAAAGTCACTACCCACTTAACAGCATAACCTTTCTAAACCTAACTTATAGAAAAATAAAATTAAAAAAACACATAAAAAAACAAAAACTAAAACAAAACCCAGAACTTTATATACCGGAATGTATTTGAATTTACGCCTAGGAGGCTCCTCCGGTGTCGTATCATCCTTAACAGAGCTCTTGTCTCCATTACCGTTGTTACTATTCCCATTACCGTTACCGTTGTTGTCTCTTTGAGAGAGTGGCGTCCATTTGTACAGCAGCAGATGCGAGCCGTTATTTCCGTTACTATTAGAACCGTTACCGTTGGTGATGTGGTGTTGGTGATGATTTTGATGCGAGAGATGATTATTGCTGCTGTTGTTTGTGTTATTGTTTGACGGAGAAACGTGGATCCATCTCTTCTTCCACTTCCTGACCGGTCCACTGAACACCGTGGCCGGTCCGTACCGGGTCGAGGAACGCCCCAATCTGGCGCCAACTCCCTCCATTAAATTATTTGATTTCAATGAAATTTAATTATTGGCTTTGGTGCGCGGATCGGGCGCTGAGTTGGGTTCTGACTCGGTAGACAATAAGGAATTTTCTCACAGCTGTCTTTTACCTTTTATAGTTCCCAAGTTTGAGAAGGAACCAATGAGTGGGGCCATTTTTATATTGAGTGAATCCTGGCCGTTCAATTTTGGCCCCAAAAGAAAAAAATTACTCGGACGGGTCGGGTTTCTAGATTAATCCCGACCCGGTAATAATAATAAAAAAATTAATAAATTTATGAAACCCAAATTCTGAAAGGTTACACTCAATGGATACTTGACAGTTAACACCTACACTACACACTGCAGCCAAGCTAAAGAACCTCCCGTCGCCGGCTCGCCGGGAAATCGACACTGCCCACCAGCCATAGCCTCTTGCTGCCTCCGCCTCTGGCGTCAAGGTCTCTTGCTCCGTCGCCGGTTATTTCTGCTTCAAACCGACATCATCAGTCTCCGGCCGCCAACCAAGTACGTGTTTCGTTTTATTTCTTCGGTGGGATTTATGCACCCAAAAAAAAAAAAAAATCGAGTTCATTGTTGAGATGATCCTTGGATACTCCTTTGTTTTTTATTGTTTATTTTTATCCATTTGGTAATATGTTAAAAAGAATTTCAAGTTTTTATTAAGTATTATGTTTAGCATCAAACTGACATCAACTGTCTTGAGTTTGCCCAACTAAGTTTAAAATTTGTCACACAGAAATTTTGAGCTTTTGCGCAAGCCAAATCCGTATTAGGCATCATTGTCATGCTGTTGATCATTCCACTTGGTGGATTGATGGGTATTTATCTGCTGCAATTGTGGCTGTTTCTTATTAATGAATGATTTCCCCATTTTGGTTTATAATGTGCTGTTAATTATGTGTCTAAGTACAATGTATTTGTGAAAAGATGTTTCAAATCCCATCTTCATGTGGTTCAGTCGTTGCTAAATGATATTTATTCTACATTCTAAATGGAGTGAGGAAGTCCGATTTTTGGGGTTTTCACTCATCTGTGATTTTGTGTGCAGGTGTCAAAAAGGGTTAAGACTTGTTCACTTTTGAGCATAGCCTCAGACTTGTATGCGGCTAAAATCCTGAAACTTTAGCATTGGGGTACAATTTTCATTAACAACTCTTGGAGGAGGCCATCCTTAGCTGCTTTTAGCCATTACTTTCTTCTTTCCATGGATGCTAAGAGCCTGCTCTCTGTTTCTTCCCAAAACACACCAATTCCATCTCTCCTAAACCCAAAAAATTCATTATCTTTATCTCTTGTTCAGTCTCGCAAGTGGGTCTCCTTCAGAACCAAGAACCTCTTAGCACCACAAACTGTAAGGTATTCTAGAAGACTAGAGTGTATAAATAGTGTGCAAAAAGTTAAACATGTTGTTGATGAGGAGGATACGAAAGCTGGGATTAAGAAGAAAAATCTTGCAGTTTTTGTGTCTGGTGGAGGGTCGAATTTCCTTTCAATTCATGATGCGTGTGTTGGTGGCTCTATTCATGGAGATGTTGTCGTTTTGGTCACAAATAAACTTGGTAAATGATATCCACCATATTCAAACCGACCAACTATGTTTTATAGATTGTATGCTTTGATGTTGCTCTATTGCTGGTTCTTTTAGAGTATGCTTGAGAAACATGATCGATTGCTGGAGTTATTTATGATGATTTTTTTTTCTTTTTTGTGAGTTTTGCATTGATATTAATATAAGGTATGTTCAACCATGTACCAGGTTGTGGAGGTGCAGAGTATGCAAGAGACAAGGGCATCCCCGTTATTCTGTTCCCCAAAAGTAAAGATGAAGCTAATGGTCTGTCTCCAACTGACCTTGTAGCTGCGCTTAGGTTTGAATTTTCTTCCTAAAGTTAGTAAAAGAACATTTATGTTTACACAAGTGGTGCCATCATTTTATCTAGCTATGTGTTTCTGATGTATATTCTCAACCTAGTATGATCATTGATATCAAATCTTTTTGCATTACTTGGCTGTCATAGTATGTCTTACTATTTTATGACTATAAAACTCTGTAATATCAGTATGATATTGCTCCCTGCATGTCTTAAATATGTATTAATTTACAAGTTAGGGAAATTTGGGAAAGACAAAGAGCTGGTAGTGATGTACCTTCATTAGGTTCTTCTTGTTTCGTATATGTCCTCTCATGCACTTCACTGGCATAGGGAGTATACAAAGTGGATATAATGCATAGTCTTGAGCTTCATAAACAAAGAGATACTCTAGCAGTGGCATATTGTCTGTGAAGAAATTCCTTTGTATTTTCTTACTATTTTTAGGTTTTTGTTGAGGGAAATAGCACTTATTCACATTTATTGGTTTATCATAATCAGGAAATTTGAGGTTGACTTCATTCTTCTAGCTGGATACCTAAAACTCATACCAGTGGAGTTGACCCGAGCTTTTCCAAGATCCATGCTAAATATCCATCCGTCACTTCTTCCAGCATTTGGAGGCAAAGGCTATTATGGTATGAAGGTGCATAATGCTGTCATTGCTTCTGGAGCTAGGTATTTTGCAGCATTCGATGTTGCATACTTTTTTTCTCTTCTTTCTCTTCTAAACTTCTTATCATTTCCTCCTAGTCTTCATATTTGTTTATAATGGTAAGTATGCGGGAAGAAAGCTTCTCATATTGTTATATTTCTGATTTTGGTTAGATACTCTGGTCCCACCATTCATTTTGTTGATGAGCATTATGACACTGGACGTATCCTTGCTCAAAGAGTTGTCCCTGTGTTGTGGAATGACACAGCACAGGATCTGGCTGCAAGAGTTCTTCAGGAGGTAATGGGTTTTGCCATCACATATTCTTAATAGAAAAAGGACCACTAAATGGTCAAGTTCTGTCTGGAATAAATGGTGTCTTTACAAAATGTTCTTAGAGTAAATACCATATTTGAGGATGCAATCAGTTTAACTTCAGGATACTGATTAAACCAGCTCTAGTTGTTGAGACGACAACTTCAGGATGATGAAATGTTAAGCTCTTGTTTCGCGGTGCCTCAGTCTGGTTTGTGTTCTGACATCTTTAATCTATTTAGGAGCATCGGTTATATGTGGAGGTCGTGGCAGCTTTATGTGAAGAACGAGTAATTTGGAGAGAAGACGGTGTCCCTATCATCCAAAGCAAAGAAAGCCCCAACAATTACAGCTAACTCAACCAAGCACCAGCATTTTACCCCCGGCTTTTGAAATTCTTGAGGTCCACTTTGGCAAATTTTAGTATTCTTCCAGCATGCTCTATTTAAACCTTCTAAGCATGTATACATAGAACTCAATTGTTTGATACTTGATTTCCATTTCTATTGCAGGTTTTTATGTTTTATAGAAGAATCTGACATACATGCCCATAGTTTTATGCGACACACTTCGAATTACGTCCTATCTTATGCTTATAATTTATCGTCGATCTACTCAAAAGATGATGACAATTTTTCCTGGAATCTGCTAGTTCTTATGATGTTCACATTGGTTTTTCTTTTCCCCTTCTGACCACAAAATCGCCATATTTGTAATAAACCTCATGATGTTACTTGTAAGAGTTTAGAAAATGTTATTATGTATGGGAGCTTATTGCCTTTACCTGTATATAATATACTTCTTTCAGAATTTCTTATATTTTCATAAGAGGTATTTTTCAATTAATCATAGCCATAGGAGAGTTTATTTTTTAATAATTATAAGAGCTTATATGATGCTTTTTCTGATAATTATGAACTCATTTACAATGATCTCTCATGCTCAAAGGGAGATTATAAAAAGAGTATTGCTGCATTCACAATCTCTTTTCACAATTCTGACGTGATAGTTCGTAGTTGGTCAGTTGTAATTTATCAAGTGGGACTTATTATAAACAATCAATTACGAATTGTCATGTCAAGGTTATGAGAGGAAGTTTGTGAGAAGAAGTTGTGAGAGTATAGCATTTTTCGTATAAAAAAGACCCGTATATTTTTGTTTAATCACTTGTATTCTCGACATTTCTTGTAAGATATCGAGGGTTTGTTTGAAATTTTTGTAGCTTTAAGTTTAATCATTTTTTTTTTTTTTTTTACGTTAAAAATAATCAGCTTTAAAATTAATTACAAAGGCGTGTGGTAAATTATAATCTTAAAATTGTTGTTGATTTCTAAAATTTAATTTACAAATTGTTTTTATGCGTATATGACTTGGAGTCATGTTTGGCACACGATATAACATAATATTAAGTAAATTGTATAGTATTGTATTATATTGTGTAATGTTATGTTAAATATTTTGTAATTAAAGGAATTATATAAGGGTAAATTTATCTTTTTCTATTACAAAACTAGTTTATAATAGCTTTTAAAATTATTTTATAAATCAGATTATTTCATAATCAGCTTTAAGCCTAATCATTTTAAAAGTCGTTTACCAAAATCTTTTAAACACTAAGGCTAAGATGTGCGGCTATGATGCGGATGTACAATGCCAGACAAACTTGCGTCACACCAAATCAAATTCTCCTTTTCGAAGATGTGCGGCTGAGATCTTCCCTCCTCCCTCAAACTCCCCTAGGTCTTTTATATTTAAAGCCGCCAGGGTTTTCCAGTTCTTTTCATGTAGCCTCAGTTTAGCTGCCTCCCTTCCATTTCTAGCTGTGTCCTCTGTGTTTAGTGATGGCTTTGAGTCTGTTCTGCGTTATATTAAGATGATCTTTAACACGTCTCTGTGTGAAGCTACATGTACCAAGAGAAGGGTGTGATAATAGATACCCTTGATCTTGAATTGCCAAAGCGGCTGTAGCTATATCAAACGCCTGAGAGGTTAACTGGCCGGTTGTCGTGAATCTCAGTCGACTAATCTGCTTACCGAACCTCTGACATTTACCTTTAATTTCTATATTCTTCGTTTTTTCAGATGTCTGTCTGTTGAGTTTGTGTTGTGTGTTTAAACTTTAATGAGAAGGGGAATATCGAAGGAAATGGCATAGAATTTTAGCCCTTTTATCAGACCCTTCTCGTATATAAACTTCAGTTTACGAACTGGGTCACCTTCCAGGCGAACTTTTCTGGTCTCTCAGCAGTTGGCGTCAATCGGTGCCTACATTATTTGTATTGTATCTTCATAATGTTTAAATTCAGATTTGGGTCTTTTTGTTTTTGGATACCAGAGTATGAATGACTAAGAACTCAAACTAACCTAAAACATTGGATGGAACTAAAGAGTCCTGGCCTGGAAAAGTTAAACCCTTTGAACGAAACTGAAACGGTTTAAGCAGAATCACAAAATTCTTTATATCGAGGGAATGATCCTGAAATTCCATGCCTCTACCATTGTCATTGAATGCCCGACAAGTTTTTGGCTGATAAAATTATCTTTTCATGATTATGAGAAGAGCCTTCGACCCAACAAAATGTAAGACTTGGAGCTACGAAAACTTGCCATAAACAGTGGGGTAACTGAAACTGAAACTGAAAATTTGAAGAACAGTATATGTTATATGCCTTACATATAAGCTGCCTGCAATAATGTCAATTCTTTCTTCTTTCTCCCCAAATGTGTTCACTTTTCAACATGCAGCGGGAATTTAAACCATCCTTCTCTCGCAGAATCATCTGCATAGAGAAAATATGGCCTCACTTGCAAGGCGACAAACCCAGTGGAGATTTTGCTGTGACTAGAAATGCATTGGTTGGTTCCTCTAAGCCTGCATCTATAATGCTTCATTTGATGCCTAAATCAATTTTTCTTGATTTAGTCTTCAAAATTGTTTCTTTTTTTCTGAAATTTTTAATGCAAAATTTCAGATTCGGGTCTTCAATTTTTCTTGTTTACTGAACTCTCTTGTAGCCAGTAGAATCACCACATGTCGAGTGATAATTAATTGGCACATATAATTAAAACCACCATAAATCAATCAAAAAGCTGTCTTTTCTTTTGGCTACAAAAGGTTAAGCCTTTGATTGGACTGGACCACCATTAGCAAAAACACAAAATTATATTAAAAAAATATCTTCAACTACTGCTACCCAGGACACAAGTCCAGTCTATAGTCAACACACTAAAAGAGAATGATTCTTAAATTCCATGCATCTTCTATCATTTTCATGGCAATTGGCAAGTTTTTGCTTGCCACAGCTAAAATTATCTTTTCATGAGTATATGAGAAGCCTTCTTTGAGGATGCCATCCTTCTCCACAGATATCATAAAGAGCTAAATGCTATTTACATATTTCTTTACAGAATTTTCAAATTAACAATAATTGCAGCCCTTCGCTGTTGGCATATACATAGAAGCCAGAAAAAATCTCACAACAATAATTTTCTCTAACTAGATGGTCCAAAATCTCCCAAGCTTTCACATCCAATTCAACCAATTATTAAATCCTTCCAAAAACAATTACAAAGCAAAAACAAAAAACAAAAAATTACTTCTAAGAGAACCTATGCTACCGCACTTTTCTCTCTCTCTCTCTCTCTCTCTCAGTTTTTTATCTCCGCCAGCTTGCGCATACCTCAATTGATCCTCTAATATTGTGAAGTTGATAATCGGATAAATCCCCTCACTGACTACCCCTATTAACAACCGAGAGAGTCGTAATTGATCGCTGGCTTACTCAGTGGTGGTTATTGATCCACTTCTCCTTTTACATACCCATGTTATTGTTCATTGAATGCAGCCGTGAGCTGCCCGGCTTTTAAACCAACCCTTCTGGCAAAATCATGATCTCTGCAGAAGTATGACCTCACTTGCAAGGCCTCAAAACCAATGGATCGATTTGTTGTAACATTAAAAGCCTCATCAGGTTTTGATTTTTTGGTGACTGAAACTGCTTTGGTTGTCCTCTTATAAGAACCAAACCACTTAGATTGCAAGTACCCATTTCTCCTCCATGGTGGCACATGCATGTCCACACTTTTCATCGACTCTTTGACGGCCGCAGACATCAGCCTCACAATCTGCTTAAGCTCTTCTGGTTTACCAACAAAGATTGGAGGAAAAACTCCTAGCAGTGACATGTAACCATCTGTGGGACGAGCAATCTCAAATTCTGCAGCTAGATTTACTTCCACAATGTAGCGAGAACTCGCACCATTAATGTTCACATCCACATATTCATAACTCCCAGCTGGGTACCGCCCAGTTTTCTCCCACCGAGATTTGCAGAGACCTGACAATAATAGTTCATGCATATATGAGATACAAAATATTTACAAACTTATACATATTATGGTGGGCTAAACGAGGTGAGCTGAGTTGACCTATTTGGATAGAACAAATAGGTCAACGAGCTGAGCTTAGTTTACAAACTTTTATAAATTTGTAAGAGTAATTTACTGTAATATTATAAACACTCACCGGCATCGAATCCTCTATCACGTAAATGAGTCATCAACCGACGTTTAAAGCTTTCAGAAGACCAATCCCCAGCCAGCCTACATGCAAATTCTGTCTCTGCAAGGATCCTTTGTTTCTCACAATCATTTTTATCTCCAAAAATGCCCTCCAACGTCTCTATCTTCTCAGAATCACACCAAAAATTCCCCGTTTCCGCCTGGTCTCTTTCGTCTTCTTCTTCATATCCCCCACCTACGCCGTCTCTCTCAAGAAAAGACTTCACAAGATCCGATAAATCAGTTGTTGAACTCTCCGGCGAGTGCTCGCTCCCACTGCTCTCGCACAGCCTTGCACGTGCCACCTCATCAAACGCCGCCGCTACCCGCCTAAACCTAATCGGTAATATCTTCGCCATATGTATAACAAAACTTAAAATTAAAAGAAAAGAAAAAAAAAAACTGCTTTTTTGTGCTCTTTTGTGAGAGAGCGATTGAAGTAGAGAAAATAGACAAAACTTTGGAAGTTTTATAGAGAAAAAGAAACGTGAGAGTTAAGTTTCAAACGGGCAGTGCATCCATGTCGTTATGATGGTGAAATGGTGAGCTTTTTGTTCAGATAAAAGAGAGAAGAGGGAGAAGACTAGAGGACAATCAAGGTGGATGACAACATTTGGTGAAAGTATGGCGTATATAAATGCTAATGATATTGTCGAACAGAGTTGGCGCAAGAGACTGTGATCCTGTGAAGCACGTGTACATGTTACTTTATGGTGTGGCTTAATGAATCTTCCCCGTTTTGAAGGATGTATTTGGTCGTTTTGATGGCCAGGTTCGACTGGCTGCTAATTTCAGTTTGTGAAAATTATATAATTAGACATCCTTAAAAACAGGTTAATTACATAAATATTACGTTGTTTAAATTACTTGGGGAGGAAGGTTAGGGATGATGTTAATTAATTTTAATTAAATTTAAAAAAAAAAAAAGGATATTCCATTGTCACCTATGAGATTTGGCATGAAAACATTTAACACCCTCAATTTTTAAGAAATTAACATTGTTAAACCTAGATGATATTTTTGTCTGTTAAATGTGACGATTAAAAGAATTAGGGATGAAATCAAAACCGAGCAGCTCGTGTCCCGAGTCAAGCCAAGTTTGACCTTCCTAATACTCAGCTCGAGCTCGGCAGGGAATCTATGCAAGTTTTGCAAATCTTAGAGAGGTCTCTATAACTTACCATTTTGTTTTATAAATTATGTAAAAGTGACAATTACACCACCTTCAAAATTCGAATTTTGAACCCTAACCTCTTCATCTCTTCATGCACTCCTCTCCACGCTCGCCTCCATCTCCGAGTTGTAATCTCTTTTTCTCTCTACCGAGTTGTGTTTAAGTATAGCGATTATATTCAATTAGACTGAGAATAGGTTTTGAGTTAATTTTTTATTTGTAAAATTAGGTTATTGTGATTCGTTTTGTCCATTTAAGGTTTCGATCTCTCTTTTTTGAAATTGAAGGACATGCTGGTTCCATAAAGATTTATTCAGACTTTTTGGTATACTTTTGATTGAAGGACTTTCAATCTCTCTTGATCTGGGCAATTATTTTTCAAGTACCTTTGCACAAGTGATTTGAGCTCAATGTTTAGTTCAAACTCAAGCTTAGTTCAATTACGACGTAATCAAACTCGAGCTCAAGCTTGAGCTCACCAAAATCTTTCGAGCTCAAGCTCAACGATTGAAGCTCGGTCGAGCGTGAGCTCCGATTGCTTTAGCAAAGCCAATCTCGAGCTTTCAATACTTGACTCAACTCAGTTCGACTCGGTTACACACCTACAAGAGATAAAAAAATACATATTTTGAATGAATTGATGGCATTTTGGTATAAATAGATTAAATTTCTTGTCAAATATTTAATCATTTTGGTATTATTACAAATTTTAAAGGTAAATATGATTATTTGTTTGATTAAAATAGCCAATAGTTTATGAAAAAAAATGTTTTTACTGTTTGTACAATCATTTAACTACATATTCTCTATTTACGCCTTAAGGGTATTAACAACAATTTTCTAAAGTTTTAGAGGGTGAAATATTTTACTAAAGTTCAGGGGTGACAAAATCATTTACTCTTTCCTTATTTGGCAACGTTGAGATAGTGAAAGACGCCTGTGCATTGGGGAAAGGCGTAGGCCTAGGTTTAGAATTGTGTGCCATATCACAGATTAACTTATCCCAATCACTCCGGTTTTGACTGAGTCTTAAATTTTTACTTTGACTCGTTTACTCCACACAGCTAACCTATTACGCCACACGAATTATTGAGCGTCCCTGTGCATTGTACGCAGTCAAGGTTAACCGTCCACGTGGCAGACAGTGTCTAGTCCTACATGGCTTACGGACTTGCCACGTCATCTTCGTGATTTGGACGTGGAAAATAGAAGCAGAGTTTTTAGTGGCCTACTGTAATGAACTATTGAACTGAATTATTGGCCTATTTCAAAATGTCCGGATTCAATGAATACAGAATCTGTCCAGGTTCATTGAATCTTGTGAAGCTCATTATAGATAAACAAAAATGCTATATCCATCGAAAAGTTGCACCGAAAAATTACACCGAAACACGTAAAAACCCGTCCATATAATATGGACGGGGTCCATATGAGTGAACGGCCGTCCATATGTTATGGACGGCCGTTCATTAGATCAAATTCAATAACGCCAAAACACGTGAGATGATTTGGATGGTTGAGTCAGCACAACGTCAGTCGGTACAAAATTTCGGTGTAAAAACACCGGTGTCTGTAGCATTGCTGATAGATAAAACGAAGATCCATTTTTACAGATTTGATTAATTAAGATTCAATGTTGTATAGTTAATGTGGTATTGCCGCACATTGAGTAGAATCCAACTTTATAAATATGATAAAAAAAAAAAATACAAATTAGATTGAATAATAATTATTAAATAATCACTAGCATTGGGGTCGGATAATAAGATTTTAGTCATCTGGGTGTGTTACTCAAAGGTCTTGTATTCGAATTCCTTAAAATGAGTATTTATCATATTTGTGGCTTACTTGGCTATACCCTAGGGACTAGTTGAGTACACATAAGCTAATCCGGACATCTTGATTAAAAAAAAAAAAAAAAAAAAAAAAAAAAAACTGTTAGGGTTATCTTATTTTAGCAGCCATGCATTAAAAACTAATGTTTTAAAACCAACCTGGGGTGAAACCTAGCAAAGTTGTCAGACGACAAAAAACTTTTAAAATTCAGCAAATACACCATTCAAATTTCGTTAAGTCCCTATAAGTTTGAAATTTAGCAAATACACCTAAAACAAATCAGCCGACAACTAGTTGGTAGGCAACGACACTCCAAATACAACCTCAGTCGTCCCTTAAGCCAATTTCCCTTAAAATATATCCACGATCTAGTCGAAATATGTTTGATTTTGGCTAGATCTTACCGACGTTGGCTTCGACAACCCTCCCCATCATCCCAAAATTACTTCCCTCTTCCTGTCGACCAAAACCCACATCACCCCACCCCCGTTAGCCTCGTTAATTGCTAGCAAAAGCAAGTTGTTGCCGCCACCAATTTTTTCAATTTTCAGTCAATTTACTCATTGGAAATCAACTCCATCGCCACTATTGCACTCACCGACACTTTCTCTTCAAAAGCCTCAACATCTCGATCTTCAATTGTTTATCGATCATCATCCCAAATTCTAAGGTGAATAGGAAAAATGTAAACCCGACCTGATGAAGCTTCTGGGTTCTAGTTAAACCGGTCGGGCCGGGCCAAGTTTTAAAACATTGTTAAAAACATACAAAAAAATAAGAAATTGTATGTTTCATATATAATTTAAATACAATGTTTTGATTTTTAAAACAAGGGATACAACAATCTTATGAAAAAAATGTTTGGTAGGATTGAGTCAAAAAGTTTTCAAATACAATTTAAAAAATTAGCGTAAAATTTGAAAACTATCACAATTTGTTTTCTACAGTTTTTAATCAACAGTTTCTGAAAATTATACCAAATACATTTTAAAATATTAAAAACATTAAAATACAACTCAAAAATTCAAATTGTATTTTAATTTTTGAATCACAAAATTAAACTTACCCTTAGTATTTTGATGTATTAGATAATATACAGGATATAGTATATATATTGTCTTTTCATACATAATATGAATGGAAATATATATATATATATATTTGTGTTCTTAATGTGTACTCTAACGGTACACATTAACGTAGAGATCCAAATCCAATGAATTAAAAAATTTACGTCAAACAATGACGACTTTGATTGTGCTTATATCATAAAATAATTATTTATATTCCATTAGTTTGATAATTTTTGCAGTAATTAATAGCCCTCCAATATTAAAAAAAAGAAGAAAAAAAAACTACAGATGCGTTTGTTTTATTATTTCAAACAATATTTCCAAAATACCTGTTTGTTTAATTATTTGGGAAATACTATTATATTTTTTTAATTATTTTTAGACCCCTTTAAGTTTATTACTATAAAACACCCCTAAAAAAAATTAAAAATTAACAAAAACACCCCCACCCACCCATAGTTGTCAGATTCTGGCAACCACCATCGGTGGTTGCAGGAATCTATTACAATGGCTTAGAAACGACCGGAAATGGTCGGTAATTCATCGATCTGGCTGTCAGCAACGGCCAAAGAAATGGTCTTCGTTGTCAGATCTAGCCTTTTACGGCCGTCGACGGTCAGATCCACCACGGATCTGGCCAGAAAAGGTCGTATCAACGCACGACCGGCCAGATCCGACTGGTCTGCGTCGTAACCCCATTTTTCGGCCAGATTTCGGTAGTAGTGGCCGGAATCTGACACTGTGGGTAGGTGTGAGTGTTTTTGTCATTTTATAAAAAATTTATATATTGGGTGTTTAGTTAAATTAGCAAACCTAAGGGGTTATTTTAAATTTTACCTCATAATACTTACTTTATTCAACTAACCAATATTATTCCCAAAATCCTATACAAAAAAAACAAAACAAACGAACCCTGTGATATTTGCAAAATAATTGGTGTATCCGTCCACAATTTCGTCTACATACATTAAGTTTTATAACAAGCCTTTCCATCTTTTAAACTATTCACTTCACTTAATAATAATAATAATAATAAAAAAAAAAATAAAAAGAAGGATAAGTTCATTAGTAGTAGTGGCAAACTTTGTTTTAATGTCCTTTTCTTATCCCCAACAGTCAAAAGGCTAAAAGGAAAGTAGTTCATTGTTATTCATATGATTCACTTGAAATACTTTAGATTTTTTTTTTCACATGTTTGAAAACTTAAGAGTGGTTGAGTGTGCTCACTTTGATTAATGTAAACATCTTGGATACATTATGTCACCATTGTTACCATCTTAGTGGGGTAATATTATAATAAAATAAACTAAAAAAAAAAGGGCTTAAATGAAAAGTCTTTATTAACTCTTTCTTTGAATTGAGGTTTTTTTTTTTTTTTTTTTTCAATTATCATCGGGGGTATCCGAGCCAGTTTACGCATACCTCAACTAATCTCTTAGGACCATGTAACTGTCGATCGGGTAAGAGTTTGGGTGGCCACCCCTATTAGTGCCTAGAAGGACTGGAACCC